TCGGTCATATTGTACGCGAGTATCATAAAACACTTATGTCCACTTATCGTACTTCGTACAACGATACAGCATCTTCTAAAATGTTCCTTAGAGTTTCTCTTAGGTACTTACATCTCTATCTATGTATATCCACCTATCTATATTTATAGACTTTTTTTTTTTATTCATTTATATATAATAACTCTTTTAAATTCCTGTCCCCCTCTCCCCTCCCTCCCCAGTTCACCCCGATCTTTCGTATCTCCGACTTTCCTCTCTTTGTCGATCTATTTATCTGCCTATCTAAGGTGTCTATCTAACGATCTAGCTATCCATCTATCTATCTAAACTTCTAACTACCATTTATTAGTGTCCGTTTAAGATGTCCGCTTTTTCTCGACTGTGTCGCTTCTCTCCTTTAATTACACCTGGCGTCGTCCTCGCCTTTTTTTCTCTATTCTTCCACGTCTCCTTTCACCCCATTGCACACGCTTGCCACACGGGTTGTTCGAGTTTAAAACGAACGCGGACCTTCTCGTTAGCGGTGCGATCGTTCGTTACGTATATAACGTTAATGTACGTGTATTTATATCTACAGTGTTTCGTTGGTCGCCGGGATGGAAACGCGCGAAAACGCTGGTCGCGATCGCGAGGGCCGATCATTGTGACTCAATCGATTCCGTCCCCTGCCCCAGTTTTTTTCTTTTCTTCCCCTTTTCTTCTTCCTTTTTCTCTCTCCTCCGCGATTGACGCGTGAAGCAAAGGAGCCCACCGAAGAGAGAAGATTGCAAGAGTCGCTTCGAGATTTTCCGATCTCGAGGAGCGGGAGGATCGAGCGAAACGCGGGCTGCTCGTTTTGTCGCCGAGGGGGGGGAGGGGGGGGAGGGGGGGGTTGCGAACGATCCGGACGGATCTGACAAACAGATCCGTGTAACGCCTGTAACGAGAGGAGCGTCGTGACCGAGCGACGAGCACCGTTTTTTTCGTATCCCTCGTTCTCGCCACTCTCTCTCTCTCTCTCTTTCTCTTTCTCTCTCTTTCTCTCTTTCTCTCTCTCTCACCCTACCGGAGACAAAGAAATAAAGAAAAACTATGTATGAAGAAAAAAGAGCGGTCGGGGCGTCCTCTGTGTCGGGGCGCCGCGCGATACCTCGCAGTATATGGCTATCAAA